GGTGTCATCCTCTCTGGAGTGTCACCCAGTGCAGTCTGCATCCCCTGCACCCTCCTAGTGATGCCACTGCTCATAAAGGTGACATCTTTGTGGCCATTTTGGCTTCTTTTCATTGAGAAATGACCTGAAAATTAGCAAAAATAAGAACTCTCTTGCAGGGGGTCACCAGGGAGACTCAGCAGCCACAAAATTAGGGTCTGGGAGCCCACAGTCCATACTTTCCCTACCCCTACCATTTGTTAGAAAAGATATGAAGCAAAAGATTGCTAGTAGCCATGATGTTTATTATTCCAGAAGTAACTGAGGAACTGCTTCGGTAGGGACTGGAGGGGAGATCCCAGGTGGTCTCTAGCATTAAGGCAGTGATGAATCAGAAAGACATGCATCTTGCAGTCACAAGGAAGCAAGGTCATGCGCAGACTGCCCACCTGATGCCCTTCTTTGATGCCGCTTGATTAAAACTAGGTGTGTGATGGCATGTCAGCCTGACAGGAGGGTCTAAAGGTTAGCCGAACAACAAGAGAACAAAACTGCTGAGCTAAAAGAAAAAAGAAGAATCAATCGATTACTAGGCAGCCTTCAAGGATGATAAGAGGAAAGCTCCCATAGATTCTGGTCCTCAAATTTTGAGTGTTTCCTAATCTGTGGCTTACAAAATATTGAGGGGTTGTTTTTTTTTAAAGGAAGAACATTGCTCTCTCTGTAGACCAGGGCAGCTTCAGGAGGGAGATTGGAACCAATTCTCTACCTATATCTCCCCACAGGCTGCATGCCCCCATAGCAAATGCCTCCATTTTCCTCTACAGTCCCTCTCAAAATGGTGATTGGAAGTGACATTGCTGCAGCCACCTTCTTCCAACCTTGAATAAAATTTTCTGAATAAATGGTGTGATACCCATGCCAGTGGCATCACTAGGGGGTGCGGGGGATGCTGAATGCGCCAGGTGACACCCTAAGGGGGGTGACACCACTCAACCTCAAATACCTACCTTTGGGTAGAAATGGGTTGTGGCATTCATCTATATCACTTCAAAAATGCTTTAAGACAGGAGTAGGCAACCTTTCCCCTTTAAGGGCCGAGGGACTTCAGCTCCCAGAAGCCTCAGACATGTTGGCCAATAGTCCCATGTTGGCCAATAGCTCCTGGGATTCTGGGAGCTCAAGTCCCTCGACCCTTAAAGGGGAAAAGTTGCCTACCCCTGCTTTAAGAGATGGTGGGAGTGGGCTGAGACTCAATGGGAGGAGAAAGAAGAGGCCTCAGAATTTTTTAAAACTAAAATTTCAAATTTCAAAGTGTTTAAATTTTTAATTTGGGGGAAATTTTGAAATTTTGAAATTCCTTTTTTAGATTTTCTTTAAAAACATAACATTTTAACCAAATCTTCACTATGTATATGTAAATACATGTAGGCTGTGCATATGCTATTGTAATTTGAAGGTGTAATTTTAATTTTTCTGGTTGTTTTATGTCACAACTATTAGCATTATTTTCAGCAGTGCATGGGAATTACGATTTATGAGTAACATTAGTGCAAAAAAGCATTACTAAGGATTCTGTATGAGGTGAAATGGGAGGAAGCCAATGGTAGGGGGTGACACCATGAGTTCCTGCCCCGGGCGACACCAACCCTAGGGATGCCACTGAGCCATGCCAGCTCAAGGGATGACATATATTTCTTAAATTTAGTATTTATTGAAATATTTACATCCTATATTTACTGCAGGTTTTTAATTGTGTAAATAGTGTTGTTGTCACAGGGTTTTCTTGGCAAGATTTGTTCAGAGCGGGTTGGCTTTTGCCTTCCTCTGAGGGTGAGAGAATGTGACTTGCCCAAGTCACTCAGTGGGTTTCCATGATTGAGCAGCGGTTTCTCATCTCCAGAGTTGTCTTCTATTTACATAGTGAGAGCCAGTGTGGTGTAGTGGTTTGGGCATTGGACTACAACTCTGGAGTTGAGGTTTCAAACCCCTGCTTGGTATATATATATAAGCCCCAATGACTTGGGTTGCGTCTACAATGCAAAATCAATACAGTTTGACACCACTTTAACTGCCATGGCTCAGTGCTATGGAATTTGGGAATTTGTATTTTTGTGCGATATTTAACCTTCTCTGTCAAAGAGCAACTCTAGAAATTTGGGAACTGAAGGAAATTGAAGGAAGGGCAGAATTCTACAGGGCAATGCACTCAGCCCCTCCACATTTGCAGCTTTGACTTTTGTGGATGTGATTATTCATGGATTTGATGAATATGTTGTTGTTAACTGCCCTTGAGTAGACTCTGACTCATGGCGACCCTGTGGATGAGACATCTCCAAGACCTCCTGTCCTCCATTGCTCTGCTGATCTCCTCTAAATTTATACTCATGACCTCCCTGATTGAGTCTATCCATCTAGTGTGCAGTTTTCTTCTCTTTGTACTACCCTCTACATTTCCTAGCATTATTGTCTTTTCTAACGAGTCATTACTTCTCATGCTGTGACCAAAGTATGAAATCCTCAATTTGATCATCTTGGCATCTAGGGGTACTTCTGCTCAAGGACCCATTTGTTTGTCTTCTTGGTCCATCCATGGTATCCTTGGCACTCTTCTCCAGCGCCACATCTCAAATGAGTTGAATTTCTTCTTATCCACTTTCTTCATTGTTCAGTTCTCACATCCATACATGGTGATTAATCAGAGCACGGGATGTTGAAATACCTGGAAATACTATTTGAATATAGTATTGTAATAACTTCCATTTTAACTGTTGGAAAGTTTGCCATATTAACATTGTAGTCAC